TCAGTCAACGTGTTCAACATGTTGTCAGTTCAAGTATTTTCTGATCTAAACTATGGCTGAGGTTTGAATTACAACGACTGAAAATGCACAAGGCTGCATTTCTTCTGTACGAGTCAATTTCAACAGTACAAAGTTACACAAGAGATTGGACTTTACTGTTTGTACTGTAATTTATTGTCAGAGCAGGTCTTTGTGATACAGAAAAGAAAAAGACAGATCAGAAATATCTTAACCCTTTCACGCATAGTGGACCGCTATTCAGAAGCCATTTAATTGAATGGCAACTTAAATTTGTCAAAACCAAGATGGCCTACAGACGTTGAGAAACACTGTGCAGCTCAGGTAAATCTTGCCATTCCTCCAATTATAGGAGACCCCTGCAGGTAAATAAAGTTTGGTAACATCTGGTAACAACTAAGGAGTAATGCAGTTGTTAAATTTTCCAAGTATTGATTTTATGTTACAATTAATCACCTGTCCGCTAAATTGGACATTATGTGGACATTATGTTAAAATATGTGACCACATTAGTTTGACAGCATTAAAAATATAGTTTTCACATACTATATCATTTTATTCTTTAGTTTGTTAAACAAATACTTCTTCAGTTAATACTTTAGGCGCACGCTGTCCACCTTAGTGGACATGTAAGAAACTCCTTGAAAAATGTGTGTTTAAAAAGATTCTAATTTTATTTTGCCTAAAGAGACATAAGAACACATAGGACCAAAAAACTGTTAAAGGCTGATGTTCCTGTCTGTCGGGCTACAGATTCACACAACGGACACATTTACAAAAATAAAGTCTAACAGTCATGTAGAGAAATATGCTGACAGATTGCAAAAACAATTTGGCATGTAGTGACTTCACTTCTGATCTGAGAAAAACTGCAATGACTGAGGCCCAGACCAAGTGTCCCCCAGGGGCCATTTACCAGGAGGGATCTCTTTAAATACTGAACTTCCCTGATTTGTTTTAACCAAAACACTGTCAGGAAACCTCGTAACTCCGATAACAAACTAACTCATACAGTGACAGTAAGTGTGGGTTAATACTGCAGGAGACTCACTGAGCTGCTGCTACATTTTAATAAAGTGTCAGCCAATAAGCACGAGGAACACCTACATACAAAGTATAACATTTCTGTTTCAGAGGTGAAAGATGATGAGTGGGAGGAGCTCGGCCCTGACATCGCTGCCCTGCACCGCCTCAGAGGACTGTCTGAACACATGTTTCACGAAAGGCTCCAGAACGCTTCAGACCAAAGGTATCTGGAGAAATGTTTAGATAAATATCTCAGGAACAACTTGATGGAATTTCATTTCCTTTGGCACAAAAGTCGATTTAGACTCAAGGATGAACTGATTAAAATTTGTGGTTAAAAGGTCACTGCGTCCTCACAAAACCCGTTTTTGGCCACAAGTAAATAACTCATACGCTCATTATGACTCAATTTCACACAAATGTCTGGTAGGATAAAATAAAGGGACGACATTTTATATGCAAAAGGTCAAAGATCGACTTCACTGTGAGATCATAGTGTTCTGCAAAACACTTTTCTGGCCGTTACAACATTACAGAGAAACAGAATGGTGCGTTTTAGAACACAGCCTTGTATTTTATATCAACATGTGAGATGGACTTTTATTTCTGTGAGCAACATGCACTTTTGTTTATTTATGAAGCACCTATTTCAAAACTGCCTCTCTATATATCCTGCCTAATTTCCACTAGATAAATAAATATAAACACAAGATGACAGACGTTGATTAGAGACTCCAACAGTCTGCACAGAGTTGGGTAGGAGCTGTTTTCAGTTCCTTCGCTCCATATTTATGGAACAATCTGCAGACCAAACTCAAAAGTCTTGTATGTTTTAAGTACTTTATATATATTCACTTGTGTACAGTACACAACTTTGTGCGTCTATTGTACATGTTAACTTAAAAAGAGATTCTGGTCTGTTTTTCCCTGTTAAAATAAAAATAAAATAAATAATTCACATTTTGTGAATACTGAATTAATATAGATATTCTGTGCGTGTGTGTGTGTGTTTGAAGCATCCATGTTTCAGAATTTGTAGCTTCTTTGCAGCAACATCCATATTTGAAGCATTGTAATCCACCACGAGCTCACTGGATCTGCTGAGAGTGAGAGTTCGGGTGAGTAGTAGTAAAGTGAAGGCAACACGTTTCTCACTGGAAATTAATCTAGAATCAAACAGGCAAGACAGCTTTTTTATAAAACACCTTTCCTACACTGCGGCCATTCAAAGTGCTTTACAGATGTGAAAATACAAAGATACTTCAGGATAAATAATTAAAAGATGATAGATTTAACAATGGAATTTAAATTTCAGCTAAAATCCTGAAACGTTTTCAGCCTAGAATGAAAAGAGTCTATAGTGTCGGGGCTTGACTTGTGGTCGAGCACGGCCCTGCATTCTGCGATCAGATCATGTTGGCCCTGGGTATTTATCGGGCAGGTTCTAGTACATGTGCTGTACTTGGTTACACAACTGTTTTAGTGTTTTTAATTTACATTAAAACAATAAAAAAATAACATTGACAAGTCGCTGCCACGACAACCTGTCAGGCATAGCAGTGCGTATCACATCCCAGCTCCTCCCTCTTCTTCAAATATGGTCAATTCTGGTTCCACAAATCCAAGATGGCCAATATGTCAATGTTCTAATAATTAATAATTTCCTTTGTCTTAGACAATTAGTTGAACAAAACAAGACATATGATGGCATCACCTCGTGTTTTTTTTCTTCACCAATTGATAACCTGAATAAATAATCCACAGATTAAATTTAAGCAAAAACAAAACACAGCTAGACGTATTGATCATATCATGGAATAATAATAACCGAGATCTTACAGTATGTCATGTCTTTCAAAGTCGATTGACATTTTTATACAAAATGTGTTCAAAATATTTCATTTATACCAATGAGTTGTTCTTCTTCTTTCTTAGTTCTCTCAATCTTAAATCGTTAACTTTTCACATGGTCTTTATCAGGTTTTACTGAATCTGTGTAATTATTGTGTGAACGCAGCCTCTATAATAAACATGTTCTTCTTCTTTCAGGGTGGACGTTGACCAAAGTTTGCAGCAGTGTGAGGAGGGGTTTACATCCTGTGACACTCAGATAAAACAGGTTGGTGGATTTTAAAAGAACTGAATTCAATACTGGAATCCAAACCTATGGGCAGAAATATGTGTGACAAGTAAATTAATTTGAATAATAATAATTAATAATTTGTCATTTACATGACGCTTTAATCCAAAGCAATTTACAATTGCTTTTCAGCCTCTGGAGCAACTAGAGTCTAAGTGTCTTGCTCAGAAGAGCTCGCTCTGTTAAACTCTATTGTGTACAATAGATGTTAGATACATTAGCCGCAGAGCGTGCTATCACAGATTTGAACGCTTTAGCCTACCAAATAAAAACATTAACATGCCAAACTTTCAGGGTTGGTCTCAACCCATCCTTGCACTTCAGTTGTGAATCAATTCCTGGTTTGTAACGTTTCTTTGTAAAATGGTCAGCCTTCCACACACACAGTTTTCCAGGAGTGACAGGCATGGTTAAAAAGACGTGTGCTGATTGGCCAAAAAGAAGTTTTGTTAATCTGCACTCGATTGATTCTCCTCAAGAATGTGCGTTTCAACAACTTGACTTTGAATTGTGAGAACTGAATGTGAAAGTAAATAAACAGATGAACTTTCAGTGAGGAACAAATTCAGTTTCAAAGCAAATTATTACAATTTTTAATATTACAGTCAGTTTAAAGTTTATTGGATTTAAAATTATTAAAATATTTAAATTGGGCAAATTCAATTCATTTTCTGGTGACACATATTTCTGCCCATACAAAACAGTTGAATAAATAAAACTAGTCAGAAACCATGGAGTGAGATACCATATGTCTCATAAATGATTATCTTGACCTAATCTTTATTTATCTTAAATTATTTATATATTTTAACTTTCCAGCACGTTGATGACCAGAAGATACAAGTCCAGCAGGAGTACAGCATGGATCCTCATTACTCAGTAATAGTCAGCAAAGAATGCCTGTTCAATGTCTCATGTGTCCCAGAAGCAGACAGCGACACTGTAGTGAAGATATTTGGAAGAGTTTCAGAAGATGGACAAACTGTGTCTGGCCTTAAAGCAGTCTTAGAAACAAAGCAGGGGAATCACCAGATCTACCAGGTCATGAATCAACCTGACTCAGTTTCTCGCTACCAAATCCCACAAAGAGCGGTTGATCATAGCACACAGTATGACCACCAGCAGATCCTCATTATGCAGGATGACCCTACTGTCAGAAAAGCTGCTACTTCTCTTTATGAGAAACGTCCAGCAGTTACCTCTGTCTACGTTCTTGATCAAAACCAGAGACCCAAACTGATCCAGGGTGCCTCTGTGCCTCTGTCAGAGGACAGCAGACTGACGCTGGTAGGCCACGGCGAGAGAGACACCTCTGGAGAGACGAGACTGGCAGGGTACACGGCTCAAGACGTCGCCAAAATCATTCAACGAACCTTCAGGACGGGCGATAAAATCAAAACAACAAGTGTGGTGGCCTGTGAGGTCGGATCAGATAAAGAGTTTGTTGAAACCCTGCTGAGGGAGCTCCGTGAGACCGCCAACATCGAGACAGAGCTGCACCTCAGGAGTGCTGTGCTGCAGGTCAGACACACAGGAGAGATCATCACCCAAGAGATCTCTAAGGAAGGGCTGCGATGGAGACATAATGATGATAGCAAGAAGGTGGTGGCAACCCTCGATAGGAACGGAGACGTAATTATCAGAACTGAGCCTGGCAGGAGAGGAGAGGAAGTTTTTACTAACGAAAGAAACTTTCTAATGCCCACGGATCCAAATAAACGTTTTAAGGTCTACAGAAACAGCTGGCCTGATAAGCCACGTAGATTTATTGACCAGAATGTTTTTAATGGTGATGAACAAAAACGTACTGCTTGTGATGAACTTGAAGCTCTGTCCTGGGGCTTCTTTTATGCAGACCTGCCACTCCCACTAAAAGTAAATACTGAAAACCAGAATTATGTAATTGGGGAAAGAAAAGAAATAAATAATAATAAGCATGAGATTCAGTGGCTAGAGAATAACAAAATAAAGGATGTTCTTTCCAAGTGTTATGAGATTAAATCAGGAGAAGATGTCAGAAGTATCATCCGTCATTATGCAAAGACTGGAGAAGATGAGCCCACATACCTGATGGTCAAAGACTGGATATACGTTGTTAATCCTATAAATCTTTATGTGTATCCAGTTGGAAAAAAGCTTGACAACAATCAAAGAGAAAATGACGTTAAGAAGTGCATAGTTGAACAGATAGATAAAGAAAAATACCCAGACATACGAAGAGAAATTCTTGATAAAAATAACTGTGCTCAATATATGAAAGATATTTTCCTTGGAGTGCACACAACTCACCTACAGCTTTGCGCTGAGCCCTGGTGCACCACATATTTCACTGCATCAGTTATAGCTGAATCTGCTAGAAACTTCCGGACATTTCCTCTGATTCTCATGGCTCTGGATATGACTGAAAGCAAAGACAACAACATCAAAGAGAAAGGACTGAAGTTTCTTTTTGAAGAGCATTCAATGGCAAGAGGACTGAGCTGGATTGACCCGAGCAGACGTGGATTTAGTGGCTCAGCAACACCTGAAGGTTCCAGCAAATTAAAAAATCAAAAACCTCGGTCCAAGAAGGAATTAATGACCGATCTTATAAAAGTCCTAACAGAAGAAGTCAAACTGTACCGCTCGTGGATTCAAATGAAGGGAAACAAAATTGACTTTAGGGTATTGCAGACGGCAATTATGAATTATGATATTGAGAAGGGTTACAAAACTTTCAAAGAAACAATAAATACAATGCGTTAGGAAGCTACAATGACAGTTTCATAACTTTCTGAGAATTCCTTTAAATTAAATCATATTTCTCCAGAGGAAGAGTATTTTCTGCTCAACAAATCCACAATCAGATAAAGACAACATTTGGTGACACAGAGCTGGACCTCCAGGAGGGCAGCGCCAGAATAAAGAACTGACTGTTCAGATTACTGTTCTCAAATGGTTCATAATCAAATCATCTGTGACAATCATTTTAAGATTCCTTTATCATTTGTTCTTGGAAATAAAAGCATTCAAATTATTATTATTTGTGTTGAAAGATTTCTTTCTTGTCCTTCTATCTCTAACTCTTGAACCAGTTTTTCTGTAGAAAGCATAGAAGCATTTTCCACAGAAAAGACTGAAATAAATGCTGAGACTGTCCTCAGACCTGAAGACACAGGTTCAACCAGAGACTCAAAGACACAAGTTGGGTCAGCTGAGGTTCACAACAACAGTGGGTCACATGGTTCATGTTCCAGTCTGATCACAGCGACCTGCAATGACGGTTATGAAGCTGGAATAAGTAGAAAAAGGAAACATTGGTGTTGAAACTGAAATAACGTTACTCCAACTCTGCTCAGAGAGTGTAGCAAAGAGCTAGCTACATTAGCCGCAGAGCATGCTAATGCTAAGTTCAACAGGCTAACACATAACAAACAGTAAAGCTACATAGAAATGCCAAACTCACAGGTTCAAAGTCTGAAGTTGGTATTGATCCATCCTTGGGCTTCAGTTTTAAAGTGAGTCCTGGTTTGTAACGTTACCGGTCGTCTGTGTGAAATGGTTAGCACCACCGTTTTCAGGAGCGCAGGAAATGGTCAAAAGCAAGTGTGCTGATTGGCTGAAAAGGAGTTCTGTTCATCTGCACTGGATTGCTCTTCCTCAAGGAACCTCAACTTTGAAATTGAATTTCAAGAAGGAAACTTGAATTCGGAGAACTGAATGTAAAAGTATACAGAGAGCTGAATTGTTAGTGAGGAACAACTAAATTTAATTTCATAGTTGTGCTTAAATTTAAATAATATACATTCAAATGATACTATTTAAATTCAGTTTTTATGCAATTATTCAACTTAAGCAATTCAAATTCAGATTATAGGGAGACAAATATCAGCCCATAGATAGAGGTGGCAGTGTGGATACAGATTTGGGTGTTACGAGGTGTGGTGTGAGGACAGAGAGGACCCAAATGCAGCACTCTGAGGGAAGGAGGTTTATTTAGGGAAAAGGGGTGAGAGGGACTGGAGGGGAGGGAGAGGTGGACGTCGGGGAAGTTCAGGCACAGGGAACCAAGGAGTCGGGGAACACAGGGGCCGAGGAAGCGAGGAGAGGCGGGGAAACAGGGAGGACGCCGTGAGGGAAGTCCGAAGAGGAGTGGGCCAGTGGACGAGCCCAGCCGAACGGAGGACGTGGGTGAGTGTACCTGGGAGGGAAACAGACAGAGAGACAAGGTTAGGGAAGACAACGACAAGGCACAGGGTAAGTATGAAAAAAACAAGAAACATGGACGCTTGAACACAGAAGTGGCACCAGGTATGGAGCAACGACGATCAAGCGAGGATGGTGTGGAGACCCGGGGTTGAAATACAGGCAGTCATGAGGTGATTACTGGCAGGTGTGGCAGGCTGACGAGGTGGATGATGAGTTGTGAGATGGTAGTTGGCTGGGCTCAGGAGCAGAGGGAGAGAGAGCACACAGGGGAGAAAACACAGGGAGGCGGGCAGAGAACAGGAAACCAAGGAAAAAAGCAGAAAACTGATAAAAAAGGAGAAAAAACCAGGACACTCACCGTCAGCCGGGCTGCCACCATAACATTGGGAATGATGAAGGCATTTAAAAAGGAACATTATTTTGTTTGTGGGTTTGATGTTTGTTTACCACCAACAATAACTGTTTTTATCACTAATGCTCCGCACATATGCAGCCCGAAATCTGCTTTATAATTTCCAGTGCAGCGTAGTTTGCATTCTGCACGATTGTTAAACAAATATGAATAGGATGATCTGTCACAGCAGAGACTTCAGATGGTTGAAAGCAACCGCAAATAAAAAAAGAACAAACAGATTTAAGAGTCGAGTCTGACACTGACAGCTTGAGTAAGAAGCAAAGAGAGAAGGAATAAAGAACAAAAGATGACCGACCATTTCTGATGCAGAAAATACACTTTATATATTTTATGGAATGAAGATTTATAATTGAGTTCAAACACAAAACCTGGAACAGATTTCATCACCAGCGTGAAGAGGAAACAGGTTCATCTCCGCCGTCCAACATGGTTATGAAAAATATAACGAGCTTGATATTGTCCCATCCCGGCTCATTGAATGTGACAGTAAGGGGGAGACTGTCACGGCTGGCTCAAAACCGCATCAAGATAACCCAGGACAATGACACAAACTGCAGAAAAGGTCCCATTTATTTCAAACTAAACAGAAACAACAGGATGATTATCAGTAAATCAGTCATGTCAGCGGGTATGCATGCTTGAAAGAATAATGTGTGAAGTGTTGTATGAGCGTAGGGAACAGGGTATCCCTCCTCTCTAGCCCCCATTGCAGAACAAACGACGCGCTCTTATAGTGAAGACCACCGGGCCCAGGTGGTTCCAACAGCTGATGATTTTAGCCACGCCTCCTGACATCTGCAACACAGGACACAAAGAGACACACATCCCAGCAGCCAAAAGACGGGGACATCACAAGACCAAGCAGATTAAAGTGTCAAAAAAGAATGTTTTATTAAATAAATAATAAACAACATAACTATTTACAACAGAGGAAACGTGATTATCAGTGGCATCAGTGTTGAATGGAATGCATTGATAGAAGAAGATATACTTTATTTATTTAATCCCCAGAGGGGAAACTCAATGTTTTCACTCTATTATACACACACGCACATGCCAGTCAGTACGTCTCCTTCTGCGGTACCCAGGAAGTGAACTGGCACCTCTCCAGCTACCAGTCCACGGGAAGAAATTATTTCCTTATAGTAGTTCTGGGCATAATACGACGAGACATGATCCACCACACAGGTCTGGCTGAGGACTCTCTCAATCCGACAGAAACAGCAGAGCCACAGCCGAGCTCCCTACAGACCTACCAAATCTAGGGTGTGGCCACATTTCTGTGTTGGCCCCATGACATGCTGAGTAAAATCAAAGGACATTAAAAGCTAAAATAAAAACGACCATCCAAATGCCAATTGACAATGCAATGCTGATGGAACGCAAGAAGCGTAACCCGCGGAAGAGCAGCACCTGGACCAACCGCAGTGCACACACAACATAGACCAGTGCTCCCTCCCCACCCAGCACCCCACCACCGCGCAGCGAACAACCAAAACGGCCAGATGCCACGCAATCATCAACATCAATGCACAAGTGACGAGACCAACGCGCGCAATGCGCGAGCACGGCGACACCCAATGCCACAGCACGCCCCCAGGCCATCGTGCAACACCAGTCAAACCAGCAACGAGGCAAAATCAACCAGTTAAGCTGCATTCCACCACCAACCCACCCACCCGTCAAGGGCCGAGAACTCCAGGCACAAGCCCAGAATAAACCGGAGCACAGCCCTGCCCCGCACCCACGCTGCACATCCCGAAAACTAACTTTATACTTCAGTATCCAGAGGGGTCCAACAACTGGCCGACAGAGAAATGGGGAAGCATAGATCCGAGGCCAACGAAGCGAACCACGGACGCAAACTGGTCCCTCCAAGTCAACAAGGAAATGCCTCCCCCGGACTCCAATGCCCAAACTAAACGCCCAGCAGCCATCCTGAGACCCTGCACAGGGAAGGGAAAAAAACAAACAAAACAAAAAACACAATGCATCAAGATGCATCAACAATCGCCCCCACCGCAGCCCTCCAAACCGCAACCTGATCAACCCCCAAGCCGTCTGTGTCTAATATGTAATTAAAATTGAGGGGCGGCCGGTGGGGGAGGAAGAAGAGCGAGGCCACAATAAAGCAGCCCCACCCACCAAACGCCCTGCAGCCTGCCCGCCCACAGTCCTAAGAGTGTATGTAGTGAGACATGACCAAAGGGTGGATGGTGAATGAGGTCATAGGGAGGCTAGAATGGTCCTCCCCACTCGGACCAGATTCCTGACTGGCCCCATCATTCAGTCCCGTCCCCCACCCCGCTAAGCAGGAGGACGCCAGGTCCCTCCAGCCCAGGGCTTATAGCAAGAGCCCCTCTAGCACCGGCAGCACCCCAGAGTCAGCGACAACCCCACCCAGCCCGAGGACGGGTGCAGGGCCCCAGACCCAGAGGTTTCAAAGCCCCGAGCCCCAGACCCCCACACACCCCCGAGTCAGCTCAGCGCGAATTGTGTGATCTCTCCTGATGTTTAGGGATGTTGGTCTAAATATTGTTCCTAAATCTTTGTTAGACCAAGACACCAGCTGTTCAACAGCAACAGCCTTTCATATTGTTGTTTGATTTTCTCCCAGGTCCAATAAAGACATCTGAATTCTAACACATGATGTTTAAAGCAGAGTCCTACCTGAGCTCCACAGCAGCACCATCAGCACCACCAACAGGTGATCCATGTCCAGGCAGACCGTCTCTCTGGCTGTCTGCCTGCTCTCTGCTCTGATCATCATCTGCTGTCCTCAGTGTATATCTGTGTACAGGAAGAGGTGGAGCTTTACTGGAACACATCTCATGTAGTTGTCTCTAGTTTCACAATAAAGAGTCCTCGTCTCTGTCAGGATCAGGGTTTTCTATTGACCATGTTTCCAGTTTGACCAGTTGTGTTCATGCTGGGGTCCAGTCTGAGAGCAGATCTCCATCTGGGCTGACACACACATCAGTGTTGGGTTTCTTCTTTGTTAAAGTGTTCACAGCAGAAAAAAGAGTCATAGAAGCCAACTCAGTTTTCTGCTAACAATTTCTGCAATTTTCATCACATGAAATAAAATTTGTTGCCACTCGTACTTCTTGCACATCAGTCAGGTTGTTGCAGTGTAACAGGAACAGTTCAGCCATTTTGTCCATGGATGTCTAATAATCTGGTCAACATGTGTTCATGTATGAGTCTTGAAAGAGTCAATCTTATTTCATGAGATTGTAGCTCATAAAGAGAAGTTCAGGAGGTTTAATGTGACGTGCAGTAAATATCTCTCCTGATGTTTAGGGATGTTGTAACTGTAAATAAACTGGATGATCGGGGATTAATAGTCATAACTGAACAGAAACAAATACTTCAGAATGATGGTGACAGTATAACTTCTGCTTTTATGGTGCAACGAGCCAAAAAAGAGAGTGTGTGTGTGTGTGTGTGTGTGTGTGTGTGTGTGTGTGTGTTGGCTGGCCTGAACCATCCCTTAGTTATGCTGCTATAGGCCTAGACTGCCGGGGGATTTCCCATGATGCACTGAGCTCCTCTCTCCTCTACTTTCTCTCCCTCTGTATGCAACCTCATCCCATTATTGCATGTTACTAACACAACTTCTCCCCTTTCCGGTAGTCTTGTGCTTTCTCGTCTCTCTCCTCTCTCCTCCTGTCACTTCCTGCAGGTGTTTCTGGCTCTGGAGCTGTGGAGTCTGGATCTGTGGCTGCGGGTCACCTGCTGCCCCCGTGTTCCTGCCCGACACCCTCTGCTGCAACGACTATTGTTGCTAGTCTTATTGTTATTATTGTTATTATAATCATTAACATTACGATTGTTATCATTAACACTACTAAAAATATCTTTACCATTTTTCATTTAGTCTACAGCAACATCACCTTTCCTGTCTGTACCTCTGTGTGGATATTGTGT